CCCCCCCCCCCCCCCCCCCCCCCGAACCCTTGTTCTTGTTTAGGTGTACCTCGAGGGCGGCTTCGCGTACGTCCCGGTGCAGAGGGTGGTGACCATCGTGGTGTCGAGGTACCGCATGGGCATCTCCAAGTCCCTCATGGAGGCGTCCAACCACTTCGCCTACGTCACCTCCGACTCCCGCTTCGGCCCTCTCCTGCAGGTGAGAGCGGTACCGATCTACTAACTGTTCCCGCGAACATTGCGGTACAACCGCCGTTGAATGTTCGGGAGTTCGCTCTGCAGGTGTGCGGAACGTTCAGCGAAAAGTACGTGAACAACATGCCGTAGAAAGGTTTGGCAGTAGCTCCGCAGGCGAGGCAGAAGTTTACTCTTGAAGAGCAAATTAAATTCTGCCGCGAATCGCTCGAGAAGTAGCTTTGCAGGTGTGCAACACGTTGTGCAAGAACGGCAGTACTTGTTTTCCGGAAACCGATAGGTACCGGTAGGCAGGTAGCTCTGCATTGTTGGGGGGTTAGCCTCATGATAAGCCTAATGTCACTTACCGAAGGAAGCACAAATGAACCCGCGGTCGTCGAAGGAGAGAAGGAGGGCAAGACAAGCATGGCCTCGCGGGCGACACCATGCGAGAGAGAGACAGAGAACACTTCACCACACACAGCAGTCCGTTGATGATGCACCGACAATGCACGCCCTCTCCCGCACGGCTCTCTATATTTATTTCGAAGGAACACCCCACCGTATCCACGTTTTTGTCTCCAAAATGTCCGTACACACTTTGTCTGTCTGTTGTTGCAGAACATGAGCAAGCAGTACCTGGGCCGTGACTTCGGGAACGCCGACGGCACGGACTCGGACCACATCAAGCCCGGGATGCTGGACTCTCTCGCGGAGGTACACGCACGCCACACGGGCGAGCGCGCGCTCGCAGCATAGAGTAGCGATGGCGTGAGCGTTCTCTTGCCGTTACGAATGTCAGCTCTCTTTCCGTCGTGCGACCATCCACGTACATACCTCCATAGCCGACATTTTTTTTTTCTCCTAAACCTGGACCTGTGTCTCTGCCTGCCGCTGCTGCTGCAGTACGATCTCGGCGATCGTGCCATTTGGGGGATCTGCAGTTGTGGGCATCTCTTGCGGTGTGTACGGCTCCTCCCTACAGACACCAACACACCCTGCCCCCCCCCCCGTGTGTGTGTGTTTCGCCTCTTCCTTTTTTTCGGTATGTGTAATTGTTGTGCATGCATTGTTTTTGGGTCGTTCTTCATGTCCCTTACAGTAGTAGTTCCTTTGACCAAACGAAGTGGAACCGCACCTCTGCATACACAACATAAACATTTTGCCTTCTTGCACCGATCTTGAGTTCGCGTCGTAACCTTCCTTATGTCGTCTCGTGGCGCCGCAGAGATCGATGCCACTGTGCATGAAGCAGCTGCACTCGGCGTTGAATCGCGAGCACAAGCTCAAGCACTGGGGGCGGCTGCAGTACGGGCTCTTCCTGAAGGGCGCCGGGCTCAACGTCGACGACGCCATGGCCTTCTGGCAGGTAACCTGATAAAGTGTAACGTATGGTCCTTGGTGTGTGTGTGTTTTTTTGTGTTTAGCATTGACCGTGCCAACCGGCTGACCAATGAAAAGACGTCAGTCTGAGTAGCCTCACCCTTTGATTAGAATGTGAGTGTGTTTTGGGTGGGGGGCGGGCGATCTTTTGCCGGTTGGGACAGAACGGAAGAGGGGCGCGCCGGGTCCTGGAGGGGAGGTACTCGTTTGGACGGAATACGTCTGGTGTGAAGGTCACATTAGTAAACACCAATGGCAAGACCGAACACCATCGGTTTGTATGACACCACAATGGTGACAGCAACATCGCCAGCACAAATACCGCCAACAGAAGCGGCGACAGGAGAACACCACCTGCAAAACGAAACAGAACTAGAATCATTGTCCCGGTTAACGTGGGTACACACCATGCGCTGTTTCTGTTTCGGTAGTGGATGGTTGCTTTTTACGTCAACGGTTCCAACAATGATGAACGACATCATAAGCGGAGGCAACGGCAACCACGGAAGCCGGGACCAAGGTCCAAGCTTGTCGTACCTCCAAAAAACGCCTGCAGCTTTTACGAAACCTTACACTTCTTCTCCCCCACTTGGCCGCCCTTTCGCCGCTGTACCGTACACCGCAGGCGATGTTCACCAAGATCATGGGCCTGGACCAGTTCCAGAAGCAGTACGCGTACAACGTCCGGCACATGTACGGGAAGGAAGGAAAGCGGACAAACTACACCCCCTACAGGTACTACCCGCACCGCAATCTTACAGGTGTACGCGCTTCTCTCTCTCTCTCTCTCTGCTGTTGGCATGGAGGATAGCAGCAATGAAAAAAGACATGCGAAGTACAATGCGGTGGGGGGGAGGGGGGGCAAAAGACTTTCGTCGCCAAATTTGCTGTCCATGTTGCTGTTGGCTGTCATATTGGGTTGTTGTTCTTCCCTCGTCCTGGAAACAAGTATGTAAGCACGAAGCTAAATACCGGGGTGTTTGCTCGTTTCCGATGGCAAGGACCTATCGGTAGGACACAAGTAAACTATCAAAAGCCAGCAGCGTAGTGGGCGGCCCGTTCCCATGCCCTGCTCGGCCGATCACTAAACAATCCCCCTCCTCCACCCTACCTCACTTGCTTCGACCTTCTTGCTCTCTCTCTCTCTCTCTCGTTTTTTTTTATGTTGTTGCTGCTTTTTCAGCTGCCTGAAGATCATCATGGGCAACCCACCCGCCGCTGGAGACCATCACGGGTGCCCGTACCGCCACTATGACGAGGACCACCTGTCCAGCCTTCTCTCGCAGGTGTGCTTTGGTTGTGTGGGTGTGTTTTTTTGTTGTTAATCTTAGCATCAACCGCGCCAACTACCCGGCGGGCCAATGAGAGCACGTCGCCTAGTCCCAGTGCGGTTGAAAACGAAAAAAAGACGCATGAAGGCCAGCGCTACCTAACCGGCTGGCCAATGAGAAGATGTTGTTTAGTCTCAGTGCAGTTGAAAACGCAAAAAGCTTCTGAAGGCCATGAACTGGGACCCCGTGAGGGGGTTGCCATGGGGGAGGCCATGCTCCTCTCCGGATTAAAGACAGATACCGTTTTGTGTGCCTGTGTTGTGTGTTTTCAAAATTAGCATCGACCGCGCTAAACCGGCTGACCAATGAAAAGACGTCAGTCTTAAACACAGCGGGATGAAGAACACCAACACTTTCTAGTCAAACGGTACGAGGATTAGGATTCTGCCGACACGGGGGAACGCACGGGTTGGACGTGTGTGTGTGTGTGTGTGTGTGTGTGTGTGTGTGTGTTTTCTTATTCCTTTTTTCAAGCCCTGACGGAGAACGGAAAAAAAAAAAAAAACTGCTCTGTTGGGCTTTTGTTCGATGTGCGGGTCGTCTTGTCCAAGTACGAGCACGACAACAGCGCGATAATAAAACAATAACAACAATAACAACGCGCGAGACTGTCGTCCGTTCGTTGATTGGTCTGCCGGTTAGCGCCGCCGATGCTGTTTCGAAAACAAACACGCACGCAACGATGTTGCTATTCGCTGAACCGATGAAACCAAATCCGCGATGAATGAACCCAATCCGCGTTGATGCCGTAGATCTCACTCTTCTTTTCTCGAGCATGAAGGGTTTGCTGCGTCAACCACCACGACCATGACAACGTCAGCTGTGCGTTGATCTTTGGTACGGGTGTTCGTGCTGTTTCGCCTCCTACTTCGCCTTACGAGCACCTTGACGTTTCTAGCATCCGTGATGTTCGTGTCGGCGGCCTTGTCTTCACATTGCGGAACCGTTCTCGACCTTTATCCAGTCCTCTTTGCCGTACACTTTCGTGTCAACGGGACCCGAAATACAAAATACGGCGTTTTTACCTGGCACAAATTGCGAAAGTGGAGGACGGGGCACGTATCCAACCACTAACGACTAGGGAATATGATGAATGGATGACTTGGCCACGTCGTGTAGCCGGAATTCCATCCATTCAAGCATGATGAGATCATTATCAACGGCAACAACAAACAACAACAACAAACAAACAGGTACGCATCGGGGCCACGGACAAGGACGCCATCCTCCGCCAGGTGAAGTCCAAGAACTACCAGCTGGCGTGCCAGCGGCACTTCGAGGCCACGCACAAGGGCTACGAGGCGAGCGGCGTGAGCACGGACGGGGTCGGGAACCACCCGAACGCCTGGATGCACGCCTCCATGGAGTTCCACAAGAAGGTGATGACAGTGAGTGATGATGTCGAACATAGAAGTGGGAAGGAACGATTGGCCATCGGGGATCGGTCCTGTGGGAACAATGTTCCGTCCTCTTGAGGGTGAGAGGTCAATGGTCTAACCGCTAAGGCATGCAAAACATTAGAGAACCCCCCCCCCCCCCTTTCCTCCCTAGAACGATTGGCCATGGTCGGTGGTCGGTCTTGTGGGAACAATGCTCCGTCCTCTCGAGGACACTCGTGGACAATTGTGTAACAACCAACAACCAAGGCATGCATTAACATGAATACGCCTCCCCCCCCCCCCCCCCCCCCCCCCCCCCCCCCCCCCCCCCCC